TCACTTATATTGATTGCATGTGATGTTTATCCTTTTATGCATCTTATCTTGCTTTGATTGACGGTAGCATTATAAGATGATCTCTCACTAAATTATCAAGAAGTGTTCTGCCTGAGTATGCACCGTAGCGAAAGTTCTTCGTGCTGAGACACCACGTGATAATCGGGTGTGATAGGTTCTACATTCAAATACAACGGGTGCAAAACAGTTGCACACGCGGAATACTCAGGTTATACTTGACGAGCCAAGCATATACAGATATGGCCTCGGAACACGGAGACCGAAAGGTCGAGCGTGAATCATATAGCAGATATGATCAACATAACGATGTTCACCATTGAAAACTACTCCATCTCACGTGATGATCGGTTATGGTTTAGTTGATTTGGATCACGTAATCACTTAGAGGATTAGAGGGATGTCTATCTAAGTGGGAGTTCTTTAATTAATTTGATTAACTGAACTTAAATTTATCATGAAACTTAGTACCTGATTAGTATCTTGCTTGTATATGTTTGATTGTAGATAGATGACTCGTGCTGTTGTTCCATTGAATTTTAATGCGTTCCTTGAGAAAGCAAAGTTGAAAGATGATGGTAGCAATTACACGGACTGGGTCCGTAACTTAAGGATTATCCTCATTGCTGCACAGAAGAATTACATCCTGGAAGCACCACTGGGTGCCAGGCCTGCTGCAGGAGCAACGCCGGATGTTATGAACGTCTGGCAGAGCAAAGCTGATGACTACTCGATAGTTCAGTGTGCCATGCTTTACGGCTTAGAATCGGGACTTCAACGACGTTTTGAACGTCATGGAGCATATGAGATGTTCCAGGAGTTGAAGTTAATATTTCAAGCAAATGCCCGAATTGAGAGATATGAAGTCTCCAATAAGTTTTATAGCTGCAAGATGGAGGAGAACAGTTCTGTCAGTGAGCATATACTCAAAATGTCTGGGTATAATAATCACTTGATTCAATTGGGAGTTAATCTTCCAGATGATTGCGTCATTGACAGAATTCTTCAATCACTGCCACCAAGCTACAAGAGCTTCGTGATGAACTATAATATGCAAGGGATGAACAAGACTATTCCCGAGCTCTTCGCGATGCTGAAAGCTGCGGAGGTAGAAATCAAGAAGGAGCATCAAGTGTTGATGGTCAACAAGACCACTAGTTTCAAGAAAAAGGGCAAAGGGAAGAAGAAGGGGAACTTCAAAAAGAACGGCAAGAAAGTTGCTATTCAAGAGAAGAAACCCAAACCTTGACCTAAGCCTGAAACTGAGTGCTTCTATTGCAAGCAGACTGGTCACTAGAAGCGGAACTGCCCCAAGTATTTGGCGGATAAGAAGGATGGCAAGGTGAACAAAGGTATATGTGATATACATGTTATTGACGTGTACCTTACTAATGCTCGCAGTAGCACCTGGGTATTTGATACTGGTTCTGTTGCTAATATTTGCAACTCGAAATAGGGACTACGGATTAAGCGAAGATTGGTTAAGAACGAGGTGACGATGCGCGTGGGAAACGGTTCCAAAGTCGATGTGATCGCAGTCGGCACGCTACCTCTACATCTACCTTCGGGATTAATATTAGACCTAAATAATTGTTATTTGGTGCCAGCGTTAAGCATGAACATTATATCTGGATCTTGTTTAATGTGAGACGGTTATTCATTTAAATCAGAGAATAATGGTTGTTCTATTTATATGAGTAATATCTTTTATGGTCATGCACCCTTAAAGAGTGGTCTATTCTTGTTGAATCTCGATAGTAGTAACACACATATTCATAATGTTGAAGCCAAAAGATGCAGAGTTGATAATGAGAGTGCAACTTATTTGTGGCACTGCCATTTAGGTCATATCGGTGTAAAGCGCATGAAGAAACTCCATACTGATGGACTTTTGGAACCACTTGATTATGAATCACTTGGTACTTGCGAACCGTGCCTCATGGGCAAGATGACCAAAACACCGTTCTCCGGTACTATGAAGAGAGCAACAGATTTGTTGGAGATCTTACATACAGATGTATGTGGTCCGATGAATATTGAGGCTCGTGGCGGATATCGTTATTTTCTCACCTTTACAGATGATTTAAGCAGATATGGGTATATCTATTTAATGAAACATAAGTCTGAAACATTTGAAAAGTTCAAAGAATTTCAGAGTGAAGTTGAAAATCATCGTAACAAGAAAATAAAGTTTCTACGATCTGATCGTGGAGGAGAATATTTGAGTTACGAGTTTGGTGTATATTTGAAAAATTGTGAAATAGTTTCGCAACTCACGCCACCCGGAACACCTCAGCGTAATGGTGTGTCCGAACGTCGTAATCGTACTTTACTAGATATGGTGCGATCTATGATGTCTCTTACTGATTTACCGCTATCGTTTTGGGGATACGCTCTAGACAACACTCTCCCATCTTGTTGCTATGCATCACATGTTCTTGCGTGTGCGTAGGAATTTTTTTGAAATTACTACGAAACCCAACACTAACGTCTTTGCTGAATGCTCCTGGCTTCGGCAACTTCTCTCTGAGCTCTCTTGTCCTATTGACAAGGCCACCATGGTATATTCATTGGCGGAGCCAGGGGTCTTCTTTGGTATTTCATGGAATACCAATGATTTTGGCAGGAAAAATATTATATATGTATGTATTGTATATACAATATACACATCGGTCCAGCCATAGCCCACAAGTTGAAACCTGTATGCAATCCACTCCATGTGTACCTTCCTGGCCTGCTCCCCTAAATGCTTCTATGTACTCGTCATGTCAGCAACCTACTAAGAGCATCTCTAGCAGACCCCTTATATCGCGTCGAACTGTAAAATAACCGCCAATTTTTACAGTTTTGTCCGAAAAAAGCGTCCTGGACAGACACCTTAAACACCCTTGAACCTTAAATTTTTTTTGAGGGACGCGGTAAATTGCCACACACGCCCCCCACCACGACCCGCGAAAACACAGGTTCCCTCCCGCCCCATCGGTGTCATGTATAGTGGTAAAGCAGTTGGCGGGACGGAAATTTCAGCACGCGCGTGTTCCCTCCCCCATTCAGCAGCCACTCGCCACTGTCGCCGTCCGTGCACCGCTTCGCTGGCGCCCCGTATCTGCCGTGCCCAGCCGCCCTCGGGTCGCCGCCGCCTCGGATCGACCGCCGCCGAGTCGCTGCCCGCCCTGGATCCACCGGTGAGTCCTTTTCTACCCCTTCAAGTTTGATTTAGCAAACGATTTCTGTTCATGCGAGCTCCATTGCGATTTGTAGATGGATTTGAGCCCTTGCGAGGAATTTTTTCTTGAGGATTCGTCCTCGTCCGACGAATCGAACATAGAGACGTTGATCGAGAACAATTGACAACATATGGTGGTGGTGGTCCTCGCCGTGAAGGAGCTCGAGGATAGGAACAGAAGGAGACGGCAAGGATCGACTGTCGGCCGTTTTTGCATCCCTCGCAACCGCCATCTCGCGAACATGATGCTCATGCAAGACTACTTCGCGGCGTCACCTACGTATCTGCGACACCTCTTCCGGAGAAGGTATCTAATGCGCCGATCACTCTTCGTAAAAACAGTAGAAGCTTGCGAGGCCAATTCTTGATTTTTTTTACCCAAAGGAGAAACGCCGCGGGCTACTGCTAACATTAAAAGGGTATAATTTTTCCTAATGAAATATGTTAAGAATCAACTAAGGAACAAAATGAGTTATATTGTAATTTCCTTTGTTGTTTTGTAATCTTTCTTAACTTTTTGAGACTGATATTGCCACAAGGATATTTTGCTACTAATATTGATATAGGTCATTAACTCATTGATGTTGCTAGCTTATTGCACACACAAAAAAATTCTATCTTATATTTCTATTGCAAGGAATACCAAGGAGCAAATTCTTGGCTCCGCCACTGGGTATATTGCGACAACGTCTCCGCCGTCTACCTCTTCGCCAACCCCTTTCATCATCGTCGCACAAAACATATTGAGCTGGATATCCACTTTGTTCGTGAGCAGGTGGCTCTTGGTCACGTTCGAGTTTTTCACGTGCCTACCTATCAGCAGTTTGCGGATACCATGACGAAGGGGTTGCCGACGTCGGTTTTTCGAGGAGTTTTGGTCTAGTCTGTGCGTCAACGCCAATGCTTCGATTGCGCCGGGGGGAGGGGGGAGGGGGGTGTTGAGCACCCTATGTACACATACATATACATGTACTCTAATCTTTATCCGTCTCGGTTAGGGTTTAATCTTGGACGTGATGATATCTCTGTACATCTATATATTGGCACTGGATGCCCGTGAATGTAGTGAGTTGCATCCTATCATTTCTCTACACATTCAAATCATGCCATCTACTCCCTCCGTTCCAAATTACTCGTCGCAGAAATGGATGTATCTAGAACTAAAATACATCTAGATATATCCATACATGCGACAAGTAATTCGGAACGGAGGGAGTAAGTCTCAAAGCGTGCACGAACTTTGCAGTGTTAAGCACATGGAGGCCTTCACGCTTCACGCTCATAAGGCCGGCACACCATATCCCAATTACATTGCATTTCGTCCTGGTGGTCTTGTCCGAAAAAAAGGCCCACTCAAGCTTGTTGTGTTGCTAAGCATTTTATACTCCAGTTGTTTATACGTATCACTTATGAGTCTGTCTTAAGCTGAAGGTCCTGCATGTAAGATCGTTTTAAAACAGTAGAGATCCGTTAGCTGAAACTTTGCAACCCGACCCGGCATGGGATGGGCCAATCAAATTACAGTCTCTACTAAGCCCACCGGTCAAAAATACTGTTCCAGTTTGTTCACCTTAACCCAGACGCGGTTTGCTGCCCATTATATAAGACCGCCTCCTTTCGCTTCACTCACCATCATTTCTCAACTCTCCGATCACATCTCGATCTTTCCTCTACACAGACACACACACACTCGCTGCGCAATTTGTTTCTGTGACAGGGAGCTCTGCAGCGGCAAAAAATTTAGCAGCGCAGAGCGATGGAGAGCGTGGATGAAAATGGAGGAAGCCGCCTTGTGGTGACCGAGCTGGGCTACATCAAGGAGCTGGTGAGGCAGCTGGACGTCAACCTGGGAGGCTGCCCCGACCACTGCAAGCGCCTGGCCGCCCAGATCTTCGCCGTGACCGAGAGGTCCATCGGCATGATCAGGTCCGGCCACTTCGACTGCCGGAAGCGCTCCGCCGCCGGCCTCGACTCGCCGCCGTTCTCCGCGACGCCCAGCCCCCTGAGCGACGTCTCCGGCGTGCCTTTCCATGCCAACAACAAGAAGAGGTGCATACTTTATTTATGAAACTATTCGAGCTTGGCACGATTAATTAATGGATCTTTTGGTATAGATTTCTAAGGCTTGCTTTGTTCTTGGATTTGCAGGAAGACAATGGAGAAACGGAAACATCAGGTCAGGGTGAGCTCGGAGGGAGCAGGAGCGGAGACCCCAGTCGACGACGGCCACAGCTGGAGGAAGTACGGCCAGAAGGACATTCTTGGAGCCAAGCACCCAAGGTTGGTACTCTAGTAATTTTCTGTTGGTACATCCGCACATGTTTAAATTACACGAGTGGCAAGTGGCACCACAATCATCCGCTTTCGCTTTCTGTGAGGTCACGGGGATTTTTGCTTTTGGATTTGGGCACTGGTTCTTCTTCGAGGTGTTCTTTTCAGTTGGTGAATGTTGCAGCCTTTCCACTGTTGCCAATTGTTCGGCATCCACTAGTCAGATAGTAGTACACCTGTTGCATCCCACTGAGCCGTTCCAGAGGAATTGTTCTGATTTTGTTTGCTGTCCCTGACCTGAGCTTTGCAACGATGCAGGGGGTACTACCGCTGCACGCACCGCAAATCCCAGGGGTGCGCGGCGACCAAGCAGGTGCAGCGCGCCGACGAGGACCCGGCGCTCTTCGACGTGATCTACCACGGCGAGCACACCTGCGTTCACAAGACGGTGGCCGCCGCGGCGGCCATGGTGCAGCCGGCGGAGGAGAACCCGGACGCTCGTAGGCATCTGCAGAACCTGAGCACGAGCCTGACAGTGAACACCGAGGGGCTCACGGCGACGACGGGTCATCAGGGCTGCGGCACCACCACGTCCTTCTGCTTCTCCTCGCAGGCGGTGAGCGCGCTGACGACGCCGCAAGAGCACTACCCGTTCTCCATGCCGTCGACGCCGGAGAACTGCTTTGGACAGGGCGCGTCGCTGTCGACGTCCCTTGAACCCTCGCCGGTAACCTCGGACTCGAACCGCTTCTCCATGAACCCGTTCCAGGCGGAGTGGAGGGCGCAGTCTGAGTACGACGAGGTGGTGTCCGCGCTCGTGGCCGCGGGGACGATGCCGGCGCTCGCCATGGAGATGGAGGAGAACGCCTTCTCGATGGACGGGTTTGAGTTCGACGTTTCTTGCTTCTTTGCATCAGACGATTGATGATGGTAAAAGAAAAGGAGAAAACTAAAAGAAAAGCAGGAAAAAAAAGGGGGACCGTAGACATTAGAGATATCGCCCGCCGAGCTCTGATTTTTGGTCAGCGGCAGAGGAAGAATAACAACAAACAAGTTCTTCATGGGTTAGTGTGGGTGTATGTGTAAGCTTTAGGAGATGAGATTAGTTCCTTTTCTTCATATTCTTTTAATTGTTTTTCTTCTAAATTCAGCTACTGGTAGTTCTCAAGAAGGTAAAAAGTGTAGTGGCAAAAACAAATTGTAACCAATGCATATTTCTCCGCCTGACCTTTTTTTGCCATCTTTTTTTATTTAAAAATGAGGCACACGGGGCACAGACGACCTGACCACAAACAATATCACAACACAATCAACGACACAACCGCCGAGAGGGAGCACCGACCAACAAAACAACATCAAACAGTCGACCACAGCGTCGAGGACATGGCAGCTCTGATTTTGCGATACTTCCGCTGTCTACTACCGCTCCTAGTACCGCTTAGGTTTTTTCTTCTATGCTTGTTTCGGTTGCCTTCTTTGCCTAAGCGGCAGTAGAGCGGATGTAGCACGGTAGTACCGCTCCCGGCGGCACTAACGGCCTCAGTTCTATGAACTTTTGTGCACTGCCCCTAGTACTACCGCTTGAGCACGGGAAGAGTGCATAACGGTTGGATTTGGGGAGGCCTATAAAAGGGAGTCTTCTTCTCCATTGCAATGTATCCTTCTACCTCGTGTTCTTCCCTCATTGTTCACCTTCTTCGAGCTTG